AAGTAAATAATTGCATTGAAAAGTGCAATTTAGAACTTAAAAACACGTGATTATTTGATCAAAATAAATAATCAACGGACCTAAAAATTTAGGTGACAAATCATCTCACAAGTCACACCATCCTTATTGATGTTAATTAATTAGTTTATATGAAAAAGTCAACAAGATGACACAAAACAGTAATTTCAAACCCCAAATGAATCTAATAGAATTGACTTACCATCAAACAAATCAAGAAAAATGGCCACTTCGCCTTCCATTTCTCAATCTCCCCTCATAAAAGTAAAAGCGCAAAGGACTTAAAAACAAAACAAAAGGCAAAAAGAAGCAAAGAAGAAAAAAAGATGGAGCAGAACAAAAGCGCGTTTCTGATCGGGATTTTAGGCGCGGTAAAAAAACATTTTATAGATTATGCTACAAAGGTTGAGTTTTTGGAGTTGTAGTAAATTTATGGAAGTTTAAATATGAATTCAATTATATATGATTATTACAAATTTTTATATGAGACAGTATGATCTTTAGGTGGGTCAACCCGTCTTATTCTTAATTTTTTAATAAAAAATTATATTTATACTATAAAATATCATGTTTTTATTTACGTAGGTTATAATTAAAATATGACATTTTAATTTAAATGATTGTTTTTCATAGTTTTTTATTTTTTTTAAATTAGTATAATTAGAATAATGCTATATATGTATACATAATGCACAACATTTATTCTGGCGTAATATGATAATACACATGCATGGATCCTGTTGCTTTATATTTTAAATCAACAAATTCTTACTATAAGGCTCAATAATACACATTAGTATACTACACTAACTAAATGTTCTTGGGCATGATGAAAATGTCTAATGGGTAGACTAATCATTCTGCTATATTTTTAATTATTATGTTGTTATACAGCCTATTAGACTAATCAGTCTGCTATATTTTTAATTATTACTATTACATAGTCATACTGTGAAATATCTTACATTTTTATGCTATCAGTAAGGTATAGCATATAATCGGTAGGCTAATTACTCCATTATTAAAAAAAATTAAACTGTGAAATATTTATATTATATTCAAGTATTACATAATGGCATAGAATTACACATATTTGTTGAAAAATATATTTATCTAATAATTAAGGTAGCATGACAATACTACCAAAAGATTTATATATTAGGAGCAAATTAATGATTAACCCTAATCTGAACTTTAATTAACTACATAATTTCTCAACTTGGTTTAACGTTAAGCTGACACTAAGAAAGTATAACCATTGCATAATACACAATTTATGCTCACCTGCAGTAAACAAAGAACAATTTGAGAGATAATTTGGTTCATGAAACTCAAACATGTCACGAATATCATCAAAAATCTAGCATGAAACAAACTAGGTACAGATATAGCCAAAAATAACTCGCCGGTTACAAAAAATTTGTCGATAAGTTTAAAATTAAAGTAACCGGCAAGTCATCCTTGGCTACACCTAAAAAACCTAATTGCCTCATGCAAGAATTATGATGAAAACAATATCAGCCCAGATGAGAAAACCTAAATTCCGATCAATGCCCTAAAACCCTAAGAAACAAGAATTTCCCTAAAGGAGAAAAAACAACAATATTCCCTATTCCTTGGAAGAAGAAAGAAAAAACACAACAATTATTATATCAT